GGTTTTTGAAAGTTTAGAGTAGAGAAAGTTTGAGAAACATTCTCATGTGAGATTTACCTAACTAGGCCAATAGCTTGAGAGATTTTGAAAGTCAGAAAATAAAATAGCCAACATTTGTTATGTTGTTATATAAATCTATGGGGCATAAGTGAATATTGTGTACAATTCTGTTTGCCTCATTTGAAATAGGATACAACAGAGCTGGAAAAAGTGTAGAAGAAGGCAACCAAAATATTCAGTAAAAATTAATTTCTTTCTTATGAAAAATAAAGGACTGAGATGCCAAACATTTCAGTTTGGGAAAAAAGGTAACTGAAAGAGGACATTTTTTTAAAAAAACTATGAATTCATAATCCACTTCAAAAGACTCTAAAAGCTAATGCAACAATAAATAACACAATAATAAGGCATAGCATTAATAATAATTCTATATACATTACCAAGAAGGATCATGCATGACATGTTGTAAAAAGAACGGTTAGAGAAAAGTTTACTAATTTTCTCAAAACACAAATGAACCACATTGGAAGCAGGTTCAGAATAGTCAAAAGAAAAGTCCTTCTTCACACAGTGCATAATCCCGCCCAGGGACATTATTATCATTTGAGATGGTACCAGATGGCTTTAAGAAGGACTGGATAAATAAGCAGAATGCAGGAAGTCCTCGACCTGTGACCACAATTGAGCCCAAAATTTCTTTTGCTAAGTGTGTTTTGCCCCATGCAATGATCTTTCCTGCCGCAGTGATGTGAATCACTGCAGCTGATAAGTTAATAACCTGGCTGTTAAAGTGAATCTGGCTTCCCCATTGGCTCTGCTTGTCAGAAGGTTGCAAAAAGTGATCACATGACCTGGGGACATAACAATGGTCATAACTATGAACACGTTGGCAAGCATCTGAATTTTGATCACATGATCATGGGGATGCTTCAAAGGTTGTAATTGAAAAACAGTCTGGAGTCACTTTTTTTCAGTGCCGTTGTAACTCTGAATGGACACTAAATGAATTGTTTTAAGCTGAAGACTACTTCTGCAGGTTTATCAAGGGCTATCATATACTTCTAATTTGGGGGCACCATGTTCCAATATATCGGTTGCAAGAGAATAAAAATAGAAGAGGGTTTTATTACCATCTCCTGCTTGTAGTTACCCTTAAAACATCTGTAAGAAAGTACCGTATTTTTCGGAGTATAAGATGCACCAGAGTATCAGACACACCTTAGTTTTTGGGGAGGAAAATAGGGGGAAAAAAATCTGCCTACCAGGTATTCATCTGGCTACCGTCCTTAGTCTGGCCAGCTTCAGAACATTAGTTTGCTGGTTTTTTATTCCCTGCTTGGGGATAAAAAACAGCTTCTAAGGCACAGCTGAGAGGAAGCAGCAATGAGAAAAGCTGGGAAAATGCTTCACTCGCTAGTGCCTCCTTAGAGCTGAAAAAAAGCTTTGCAAAAGCTACATTCGGAATATAAGACACACCCAAATTTTCAGCCCCTTTTAGGGGGAGGGGGGAAGGTGCATCTTATACTCTGAAAAATACGGTAAGTTGCGTCTTGACTTGATATAAGAAGTCCATTATTAAGATCTAATGATGATTTTTGAAATAATCTTCACTCATTTTTTTCATTTTGGTTTATTGATTAGAGTTCAATCATATCTCTACTGAATCTAATTATTCCTGTATTATTCCTTGTTTTGAGACCTTTCCCACTTTGCTCTTACCAGGAATAAGATCAGTTATTCAAACTGGTGGCAGCTTCTGTGTTATTCCTCAGAAAATAAGACTTATTATAACTCCTGGAATTTATTTTAATGAAAAACAGGGAAGATGCTGAATTAATCAATATCTTCTTTCTGTAGGACAAACAACAGCTTGAAAACAAGGCAGATATGGATTTCAAACAGCACAAAGGAATGAATTAAAACACAGTTATTGCTTAAATTCCTTTCACCAAGATTTAGAACCATGCAATGCTTTCTTTTAATTATGATTTGTGAAAAAAATCCCAATGACTGAGTTCACAAATCACACTTCTCAGAAACCATGGTTTACACAAGTTTCAAAGAATGTACTAACCCCAAATCAAAGGGATTGCCTTTGGCATGAGACAATCCAAATTGTAGCCTAGTACAAACCAATGTTATTTGTTCTTCTATTCACATTAAGCCCAATGGGTGACACAGGGATTACTTCTATACTTTTCTAGCTGTATTGTTTTACCAAATTGCAATGGCAGGTGAATTGATTTCCAGGTACATAACCCAACAGTGAATCAGAAAATTGGTTTACTTTATTGTAAAATTATATTGCATATTTTCAAAAATCTGGATTGTACCCAGAGCATATGCAGTATATTTCCACTACTAGCAAATTGTAATTTAAAAAGGCAGAATAGGTTTTTTTTTTTTAAAAAAGTGCTATTTGTTTTTGCACTTAACTAAATTAGTAATTTCCTATAGAGTTTATTGGGGAGGGGGGAGGGGAATGACAGAGGGAAAAACATTAGCTGAAGGCATGTATCTAGGAAACATATACATATGCAATTACATGTAAAATGTGGCAAATAATATTAGAGCTGAACTCAGCCAATTAAAAAATATTAATAGAATAAAATACTCTTGTAAAAAATCCAAGTTCATTGACATCATTCCCATTTGTATAATCAGGATTAATTTAGATTTCCTGACAATAAGAAGAAATGGAAACACAGCCCATTTTTTTCCTCGACCTTTTCTTCTCAGAAAATCAGGCTGGGATCAAATCACATTAACTAAACAGATGGTTAGAAAGCTAGTGAGAAAAAGTTTATCATTTTGTTTTTCCTTTTTTCTAAAAAAAGTAATAATTCCAAATAGCAATCTTTATGTACATAAAAAGTAATGATGGGTGAGGGATGAATTTTAACTCATAGTAGCTTTTTCTTGAAATTATATCCTTTTAAAATCACTGGAGGTGGACAAAAAGTGAAAAGGGGAACATTTATGATGGACGATAGCAAGAAAAGATTATCTCTCAAAGTGTACTACATTTAACATATAAAATAACTGCTCCTTCTGCTTTCCAATTAAAAGGAGTACTGAAAACAAGGCTTGGAAGAATTCTGGTATAAAGACTCCAGAATTCTCTGTCCAGCCCCCAAATTGTTCTCCACTGGTCTGGAAGAAAAGTATAACCCCATCAATCTAGAAGCAGTCAATATGTAAATTAAGATGGATGGGCTATAGTGATACACACAGAAAACAAATAGACGATACTTTAATACACCATTTCATCTGAAAGGAAAAGCCATATGACTCCTTGTGTCAATCTATACACATGGAGAGACATAGGGAGAGGGAGAGGGAGAGACACACACACACACACACACAGAGAGAGAGAGAGAGAGAGAGAAGGAGATATTTTGCTATAAGTATAGTAAAATACTTATAGCAGGAAGCTATAAGCATTATAGCATCAAGCTGCAGGAAAGATGAGTTGCCATGTCTGATGGGTGACTCTCTTTAACTCCTATCAAGATGTCTAAGCTTGAAGTCAATCTGTTCAGTCAATAGTTGGTAATGACATACTCATCATTAGCATACTAGTTAATCCAGCATTATCTCTTTGGCACAGTGCTGGCCGATCAATTTTGTTTGCTCCGTCAATCTCATTTTCTAAGTTTGCAGAACACATTAAGCTTAGGAACAAACCCCCTGCTTGGCTTGGACATGCTAAGCTAATAAAATAGCTAGCTTGTAATTCAACGTGCCATGCAAATATTAGCCATGTACTAATGAGTTGCCCAATAATCCCTGAATTTCCTTATGACAGAAAAGCATTAAGAAAAGTCATGTGTGCTTGCTTGTTCAGAACTTCCCACATAACTAAGGAGCCTTGGTGGGGCAGCGGACTAAAGTGCTGTTAAGTAGCACTTAGTTGCCAGCTGCCTGCAATTACTGCAAGTTCAAATCTCACCAGGCTCAAGGTTGACTCAGCCTTCCATCCTTCTGAGGTAGGTAAAATGAGGACCTGGATTGTGGGGGCAATAAACTGACTTTGTATAAAAAGAACACCGCTTGGGGGGGGCGAAAGCCCTACTAAGCAGGTATATACAAAAGTATGAAGGCTATTCCTTAACGCATTGTAAGCCGCCCTGCGTCTCCGGAGAAGGGCGGCATATAAATCGAACCAATAAATAAATAAATAACTTAATCCAAGTTCCATTCCATTTTCTAGGGGAGCCCTCTCATGTCATTCCAGATATCCTGTGATTTATGCTGTGAATATGCTACTTAGCGTCAAATCCCACCATTGCATTTCCAACCACATTTTTTTATTTCTCCAGAAACAAAAAGTGTGGGGAAGTGAAGGGGAGAAATCTGTCAGACACCTATAGTTGTCTTTCATCCTCCTTAAATCTAAAAGACATCCTTTCACCCCCATTTCCATGACGATTTGAGGGTTCCTGGACAAAAGGATTTTAAAAGAGTTGAGGAAGAGCCTATATATACCCAGTTACTCCTTAGCCCAAACTAATAGACATATTTCAGTACAACAGGCAATACAGTTCGGAAGCTTTTTCTAAGACAGCATCTCTCCACCCTGGCAGGTTTGAAAATGTGTGGACCAACTCCCAGAATTCTCTAGCCAGCATGCTGGTTGGGGAAATTCTGGGAGTCGAAGTCCACACTTTTGCCAAGGTCGAGAACTGAAGCACTGGTCTAATGCTTTGATTTGTTTTTAATTTAAAGTTTTGACAGTCTAAAATAAATCTTCAGCAACTTTAAAAAAGAAAAAAAAAACCAAGCAAAAGCTTCTCAAATCAAGTTCAGGCCTCAAAAGTTCTTTTAAAAACGTAAAAACTTCTGCAAAGACAGGGAAACCCTCTTCTCCCGGCGTTTAGGGGAAAGCCCAAAACAAGCGAAGCGAGAACCGCGGTAGAAGACACGTGCAAAGGGCGGGGAACCCAGGCTGCAGCCTCAGCGCCGCCGCCTCTTTTCTTTTTTTTTTTGCTACGCGAGAAAGAGATCAGTGGCGTGGAGGGAATCTGATTGCTCGTGAGCTACGCAGGGGTGTCTCGTTTATAGGCAGGCGGGGAAATCATCTGACATCCACGTCAAAGCCTAGCACTCGTGTGTGGATTCCCGTACAGCCTCCATTCAAGGCTTGGAGAGTTGTGGATTCCAAGCGTAGCTCACTCTAGCGAGCGAGCATGAAATCTCTCCCTCTCGAGCGTGATCAAACGGAGCTACTCCATCGGGGGACGCCACTATGATTTCCACCGCCACGCAATTTCCACTATCAATAATTTAACCTGCATTTGAGGCGCAAGCGGAACCTGGGGGGAGGCGGGCGGAGGAGGAAAGGGATGAGGACGCCTCGCGAAAGAGGTTTGGGCAAGAAGGTGGGGACTTTTGATTTTAAACCCATCCTTTGGCGTTTTAAATGCTATTTTTCATTTCCAACCAACTCCACCACCAAAGCCGGAGGTTGCCATCCAGGCATCTCCCATGCCAGCTCTCGGCGCTGTCTTTCGAGGCTAGGCGCCTAAGAGAGGGGAAAGAGCGAGCGAGCGAGCGCAAGGTGAGTTTGGGGGTTGATTCTCCGACTGTTTTGTTATGTCTGCGAGAAAAATCCGCCGACTGGCGGGACCTGCGCGCACGTTTGCCCGCTGCGTGTTCTCTTCGAAAGTGACTCGTAACGTTATCCGGACCCTTCATTAATAAATCATGCTTGTTATTATCTTGATTGCATTCTTAATAGGCAGACTATGAAGAGGTCAGTCAGGGAGCTATATTTAAATGGATCTGGTTTGTTTAATGTACTAACAAGTAGAAAACTAATCTGCTCCGGCTTTAAGAGATTGGTAGCGTTTCAAGCCGCGCACCCCCCAGCCTCCCCCCCCCACCCCCGGTCCGTGATCCGGAGTCCGCAACTTAGGAAACCACGAGGGGAAAAAAACCAAACAAAACAAAACCAAAAAACTTTTTTGGGAGCTTGTTTGTTTTCCCTGCTCCGATTTATCCGCTGGGACCCAACCTGTTCCGCGAAACCGACGCTTTCTCCCCGCCGTTGGTCACCCCGGCAGGACTTGCACTAGATCTCGTTGCCTTCTTCCCACGCTGAAATTTGGGGGGGAGGGCGAGAACGCAAACAGAACTTAGTGCGGGTGTCTTTCTGCCTTCCCACCCACCTCGCTCCCCGCGGTAAATTTAATTCCTTCCTTCCTGATCGTAGAGGAAGGGGCACCGACGATGGAGGAAAGTGGATCCGGACGCAAGTCCGAGCTTATTTGCCGGCGTCTTTGGGAGGCCTCCCTTGGTTGGGCCGAACGAAAAAACCAAGTTTCCAAAAAGCTTGGAAAAGGGTTGCTGCAAACGCCGGAGTTTTCCGTGTAGTTGCAGCGGACTGGGTAAAGGGGGGGGGCAGGGAGCGGGCGGAGCAGGCAATGCGGTTCCTTTAAACCGGGGCGACCCGGGGCTGGTGCCCGTTTGGAAGCCGCTTGACCAATAGCAACCCAAATGGAGATCTAAATAATTCCTGAGAGAGAGGAAGCCAAACGCGAGGAGGGAGGGAGGGAGAAGGAGGGGGCGGTGGTGTGGGGGCACAGCCAGGCTCCTACGACAGCCGGCTTGGGTGGGGGGGGGGAGAGAGAGAGAGAGAGAGAAAGGAAGGGAGAGAAAGAGATCAGAGGCTCCCAACAACTCCGTTGCCTCCCACCCTTCATAAAGCTTTGATGAGACATTTGAGCCGCTTGCCTCCTCCGGTGTTCCTGGAGCTGCAGGAGGCGGCTGGAGGGACTGGACGGCTGGGAGACGATGTGACTCTCCGGAGGGGACCCCAGCAGGCTTTGTGTGGACGGCAAGGTAGGTGGCAAGGGAAAGGCGAGGCGCGGAGAAGTTGACTCGAACAGCCCTGTCGGAGCCTCCCGGGGAGCCAGCCCAGCAGCCCTGGGAGGGAGGGCTGGGACGGCGCGGCTGCCCGAGCCAGAGAGGCCCGAGGAGTGGGGTGGGTGTGTGTGGGGGTGCATGGAAGAGAAAGGCAGGCCCCGCCGGGAAGGAAGAACTTCTCTGTCGGTGCAGGCTGAGCCCCAGCATTCGAGATTCGGTTGGCACAAGGCTGCCCAGGGCGCGGGGCGATCCCCTCCCGGCAGCTGGATCAGGGGCCTGTCGGGAGGAAGCCTTCCCGGCAAGGAAGGCTGGTTGAGTTCGGGGAGCTGCACTTCCAGGTAAAGGGCTCTGGAGCGGGCAGAAAGGGAAGCCCCCGCCCCCAGCCCGCTCTCTGGAGGCGGACGGCAGGGTGGGTGGGCGACTCGGTCGCCGCCTTTTTTTTTTTTTTTTTTTTTGTTCCTTACCCCGCCAGACACTCGTGGCACCTGCTCGGCTCGTGCCTTGGCAGGCGCCCCTCCGCCTCCCTCGCTCGCTCTGCCGCCTTTGCCCAGCCTGTTGTGCTCTCTCTCTCACCCTTTTGCTCCGCTCGTCCTCTTCAACTTTCTCAGCCGGACTTCTCGCTTCCTTCCCGCGCGTTCCCCCCCCCCGGCGCCCAGAAGAGGCGGCGTCCCCTTAAGCCTGGATGCCGGGCAAAGGAAGGGGGTTGTTGAGGGGTGGGGGGGGCAACTTGTCTGAGGAAAACTCTCTGGCGAGGAGAGAAGCGCACGGGAGTTGCAGCGTGGGAAGAGCTATCAGGAAGCGGGTTCGTGGGTGGCTGGCGACTACCTGGCTGAGCTTTCCCGCTCTTGCTTGGGAGTGGCCGCGAGCGGGCGGCTTCGGGGCGCGACGGTCCTGGGGCTACGTAGTTGGGGCGGCCCGCCCGGGAGAGACTGAGAGCCCCAGCCTACGAATCCCGCCGCCTGGCCAGACCTTTACGCGCCGGATCGGTAGCCGGAGTTTTTGTGATGCGACTTTGTTTTCGGTGGGAAAGGAGGCCCTCTGCTGGCCCAGAGTGGAGGCGCAAGGAAGCCCCTTCTGCCCCGTGTTTGAGTAAATTTAACTCCCTTGTGTCCCCGACCTGTTTGCTTTCAGAGATTAAGCCGGCTTCGGATCCTGAATAGAAATCCCTACTTCGTTTGGTATGAGCTGTTGGATTTTACGTTCATCGAAAGAGGATTTCTGGGCTGTGAAATATCAGCCTGGACCCAGTTCATACTTTAAGGTGAACCCCTCCCCCCCCCCCCAAAAAAAAACCCCAAACCCCATACACAACAGTGCCAGGTGAAACAAAGCAGGCAGGCTCTTATTCAAGACTATTTTTCCAAAAGCAATTAGAATATCCCTTTACATTAGTAGAAGACATCTCCATTTAAATCTCTCAGGGACTGGAATGCATGTTAGCCAATGATGTGTTTAACACAGATTGAATAGAAATTGGGCTTAAAATGAGCAAGATATGTTCAGGTGTTTGGGACGTTCAATCTTCACCGAAGGGCCGACCCATGATAAATTAGGGTGGGAAGATGTGCTGATGAAGCCTTAGGGTTACTGTGGTCTTGAACCCCAAGCCATCCTTATCCTGGAGCCTTTGGTATGTTTGGGTGACAAATCCTGCCATTCCCAACTAACAAGGCCAATTGGAGGATGTTGTGGAGAAAGTGAGCTGAAAAAGTCTGCTTGTATACTTTCACATGGTGATAGATTTTCCTTGTGATATTTGGGGAAGAAGAGCAGATTTACTCTGCTAAACTTTTTAAAAGTTATATTCCGTTTATGATAACTACTTAAGGGAACCTCCATGCTTAGAAGCAATATATCTTTGAGCACTAGCTGTTTGCAAAGATACCTGGAAAGTCTGCCACCAACTGTGACTCGCTTCTGAACTTCCAAAGACTTTGGTTGGGCACTTTTTGCCCAACTGTATAGATTTTAATCAACTAGAGTAAGATACTTTGTGTATTTAAATTGAATAGGAGTTGGTGAACTTTACTTGAAAACACAGCCATTTCCAGAGGTGATTTATCTTTTCTTCAGAGCTGGCTATGGGACTTCAGATGCCTTCCAACATGGATTCAGAACCTGAAGTATTCACATATAGCACAAACACAGCAACCATGAAAAAGTTTCCTTCATTTTTCTCTCTGTGTGTGTGTTGTTGTTTTTTTTTTAATGGACTTGGACAATGTGAAATCCTTATGGAGTGAGAAGAGGATTTTTTAGTAGCAGCAATAGGCATGGCTAACCACATAGGTATGATACACTGCCAAAGGTTATAAATGGAATGTAATAGGAAACAATTTTTTTGGCTACAGTGTAGAATTATGCATCAACTCTACCCAGTGAGGCTCAGTAAGTAAATGGAAAGATACACTTGTTGAAACGTAACCTTTCCTGGAATTTCAGGCACGCCAGTTACCATAGCTGAAATTCCAGGACCATAAAGTTATTTGTCATTTTTGTCCACTTTGCTAGATGGAAGAGTATGTGAAAATGCTTTCAGCAAATTATTAAGTGCTTATGGAGGGTGTGATGATAAAAACATCCACTGCCTTATCTTTGACATTGGTTGGTTGTTTATTGCTTCCACTCAAGATAAGAGGAAATATTCATTGTGTTTTATCAGATAATCCTCTTTGGGTACAGGGTTTTCCTCAGTGGTCTCTATAAATCTTCAACAGTCCTTTCTCTTCAGGAATTGTGCATGAAAAAGAGAGGATGGCCACGGAGAAGTCTCTATTTGCTACGGGAAAGCAGAACTTCAAAACACTCAGTGTGGAGTCCTTTCAATCCTTTTTTGGATGCGTACATCTGATTCATTTCATTTGTGGGTTCTTACTAATGGGCACTTACTATCACAAGTTAGATCTGCATTCCTTTTTCCCATAATATACTTTTAATCCCATTGGAGGATTGTGCCATTCTAGCTACTTAAGAATCAGGTTGCTCAACTAGGCTATCGTGAAAACATAATATACAAACATCCTTTGGCTGAAGTTAAGCTTTCTCATATAGAGTCAAATTGCTTGTTGCATAACCAATTTCTTAATCACAGCCATATGCTTCTTTTACCTGGATACTAAAGCACTCTGTGTAAAAGTGGATGGTAATATTTGTAAATGCAGCCTAGATTCATGTTTGTTTGATTAAGGGCTGGTAGCAATGAATCCTCAGATTCTGACTACTTACTGCTCTGTAACTAAGGAAGCATAAGCAAGATGCTACAGAAAAAAACATTGAACTGTGGTCTCAGTAAGATCTGCAAAATGCAGTTTTGTGGTATCAGTTCAGAATATTTTGGGGGGTGGAATACAGGCAGAACATGTATGACTCTCTGCTGTTACAGTAGGCAAACTTCAAATGTACTGCAGCTAGTCCTTAACTTACAACAGTTTGTTTAATGATCATTCAAGGTTATAATGGCACTGAAAAAAACCTAACTTATGACCGTTTTTCACACTTATGACCGTTGCATTATCCCCATGGTCATGTGATCAAAATTCAGACACTTGGCAACTAACTTATATTTATGATGCTTGCAGTATCATCTGATCCCCTTTTGTAACCTCCTGGTAAGCAAAGTCAATGGAGAAGCCAGATTTAACATCCGTGTTAATAGCTTAATTAACAACTGCGGCAATTTACAGGGTTGTAAAT